ATTTATAAAGCCTTTATATATTAGAATTGGGAGATTTAGAATTAATTAGCCTAAGAACCTAAATTCGGAGAAGTTTGCCCCCTTCGCGTAGAAAATTAGTGGTTTAAAGAATATTATTTAAATATTAATTAGAAATTCGTCCGTTTTTTAAAAATAGTAAAATTAATACGAAAAGCTTTCCTATTTTTAATATTATTATATTACTATAGGATAAAGTATTTTACTAGTGTATAATTGGTAAAGATCTACCCAAGGCCCTTTATAATTATAGTATAAAGGAGGATACTTCTTTAATAAATTAGGAATTTACTATAGTAGGGCTCGTTAATTTATAATATATATATAATATAAAGAATTAGATTGAGGGTATATTAATTATTACGGCCCTATTTTAATTCCTAAAGAATTTTAGAGATATAATTTATATCCCGTTAAAAGTATAATCGATTACTATTAGAAATTAATTACCGACCTCCTCTATATAATTACGTTAGAGCTTCCGAAGGATAAAGTAGTAGTATATTTTTATTATTTATAAATTTTATTTTAGTTTAGTAATTTTCGATTAAGGAGAATTCGGATAGTATTATTACGATAATATTTATAATAGAGGCCGAGAGGAGATTATAAGGAGTGTTTACTTCCGGTATATAGTAAATAACTATATATATATAGATAAGATGGGAAATTGCCTATTAAAGATCCTAAAGTAGATATAATAAATTAACGAATCTTTTTTATTATAGCGCTATTAGTAGACTTACGGTTTTTAAGTATTTAAAGTTATTTATATTTTTTTTATTGAAATCAGTTATAAAGGAATAAAAATTAATTACTTTATACGCCTTAATAAATATTTTCGTTTATAGGAGGAAGGTAATTATTAGAGGACATATAATTGGATTAAGGATAAAGAATAGGTTAAGAAAATAATAGTCCGATAATAGATAAGAACTATTTATAATATTTTATAAATTAAATAATAGAAAGGAAGTCGTATAATATTAGATATAAAGTAGTAATTTTATTATTATATTTAAAATTATTATTATTTTAAATTTAAAAACGAACCGAAGTATTAAAATAAATTGAAATACTTTGATAATTATATAATAATAATTAATAGGACGATTCGCTTCAAAGAAATAAAGGATTTAAAAGTTTTTTATAATTTCTTTAATTAGATTAAATTATAGTAGAGGCCCGTACGATAATAGTTAATTAAGAGAGGGCTAGTTTATAACTTATAGGAAATCTTTACTTAAAGTTTATTAAATATATAAATTTTTTTACAATATTAAAGTATATTTCAACCCGTTTAGTTCCTAAGTACAATTAATCCCCCCGCTACTTTTTAAATAAAAAAGGATAGGGAAAATCGCAAGAAGGTATTAAACAAAAATATTTAATTTATTATAGTTGAAAAGATATTCGTTAATTATTTTGTATTCTTAATAAAAATAAAGGCGGATAGAAATTTCTATGTAGTAGATTAGGTCGAAAAGGAAAAGTGTAAGTTAGAATATAAATATTCTCCTTCCTTTGATATTAAGTGGCGTTTAAATATTTTCGCGTCCGAATAATTTAGTTTTAAGGCTTTGAGAGCGATTATATATTAGTATTTGGGCGAAATCGAAATAATTTAAGTTTAGGAGTGTAAAATGGTAAAGACCCGAAAATATAAAGCGTAGTTAGAAGAGAAGAAAAGGTTGGCCGAATTGAAGTATAAGAAAGGAGATTAGTAGAAACGAAGGGAAGTTGGTATTAGATTTGCTATTTTTACAATAAGTTTATAGTATTTATCCTATTTTTCTTTTAGTAAATTTATAAGAAGGATTTATTATAAATTTAAAGGGAAGTTTAATTTAGGGAATTTTTTTACGTTTTTTCTTTAGCTAAGGACTACGGGGTTATTAAGGGAGTAGGGTAGTTTATCATAAGTAGGAATAAATTAATTATTGAGTTAGGTATTATTAATTATAAATTTGAATTTTAAAAATAAAAGGAGAAGGAATTTCCTTCGAAATTTGGGAAAAAAAATAGGTAGTTTAGACTAAATAATACTCCTTTTTAGAAGAATATATTCGAATTTTGATCCTAGATTCGTTTTTCCATATTAAATTTATTCTTCCTTTACTTCGTAATCCCCTTTTAAGAAGATTAACGTTTAAATTTACTCCTTCAACCTTTTTCGAAAATCCGTTAGAATATAATACTTTAATATTGGCTCTGATCTCTTCTAGGTGGTTGATGGTTGGTATATAAGGATTTTTTCGTTTTTATTTTATAGATAGGATTTATTTTACGGCAGATTTGCTCTCTTCTTTGAGGTGTTAATTCTTATGATCTTTACATTAGTTGAGTTAGTTTTTTTGTGGTAGGGAGCTAGTCTCTCTTCCTGTGTAGTGTTTTCTATACCAGATTAATACTAGTGGGCCCCGGTTTGGATCTAGGTATAGTATAGCCTGCCCTATATCTAGACCGTACTCCTCCCTCCTCTCCTTCTTTCCTTCCTCGTATAACTATGTATATCCAACCATACCCCTAATAGTGTTATCCCCGTAATAAGTACAGTATATTATTCGATTTAAAGGCGATAATATTAGCATTTAATTACTTGAAGATCGCCTATAATATACTATCGCCCGAAAAACTAGTAGAGAAAAGGGTAATTAAAGTATTTTATAATAATAGTAATAAGAGATAGCAGATTGGTAATATACGTACTTCATTTACGAAATCGAAGTTTTAATCAACTTATATTATCGTAAAGGCTACTAGTAATAATATTAAAAACGCGTTCGTCAATTTTATTATCTTATTTAATATAGGGTTCACTATCGTCGAAAACCTATAATTTCGTAAACTAATTTACTTACTAAACCTATTTATTGTTAACGCTATCTTTCTAAATAGTAAAATAACGATAGAGAAATAGTTAAAGGATTACTTTAAAAAGGAGAAAATAAAGGTGAAAAAGGAGTTTACCGCGACGCCATATAAGATATATATTTCCTTCGATTTCTACACTTCGCCGAACGGGTATACGATTTTTACGGTTATCGTATATTTCACTAATGCAATTAACGCTTCGAAAATTCGTTTATTAGTAATGCCTTATATTTAGGGTTATTACGGCGGTAAAAATATTAATTAGTCCAATTAATCCTACGCTAGAATAATTACTAACGATCGGACTTATTAATTATTATTATTAATAATATTATTAACGCGTATTAAATCCGCCGCAAATTAGGAGTATTTTCGTCGGATAATATTTAATCGAATAATACTATAATTAAATACGTATTTAATAATGGTAATAACCCTACTATCGAAGTAAATTCGAAAAATCGTCGCATTTATTATTTCGGCTACATTTTTAACGTCGCGACGAAGGCCTTTCTTAAAGGGAATATACCTAGGTTAATTAATAAAGAATTCGACCCCTCTATCCTAAACGACGAAAATAATAATATAATAGATCAATAGAAAAAGCGCAATATATTCGGCAAATTCTATAATATCGTTATCTTTATTCGAAAGTCCCTTTAGAAGCGCGCTAACTTCCGTAATTTTATAATTAGTAGTATAACTCTAGAATAGGTTGTAAAGTTTAGAAATTTTTATATCGACAATAATAAGAAGAATCTTAACCTTATATAAAATAATTCAATTCGCTAGAACTCCTAGTATAATATAATTGAACGCGCTATTTATTTACGACCAAGATTAAATTATTAATATTTATTAAACAAGGACTCGCTAAAGGAAAAAAAGTTAACGAAATTATCTAATAATAATTGGGCTATACTAACCGCCGTCGACTTTATATTTATTAAATTTAAAGAGTTTACAAAACGATTTAAAAGTAAATAACCTAACCTTAATAGTATTTTTATTAAATTTAAAAAATTAATAGAAGAATTAAAAAAATAGCGATTTATATATTATATCCGCTTCGAAGTCGAATCCTTTACCGGTAGCTCTAATATCCTACCCTACCGCGCACCTCTCGCTAAATTAATTAATATTCGAACTAACAAAATCGTTAGCTCTACCCTTCGGCAATTATATTAAACTTACTATATACCAGTTCGGTTTTATAATTATAAAGTTAATCTACTTTGTTTTAGAGAGTCCGTATAGAATTAACCTCTCCTTCGCCCAATATAAAATAAAGCTCCTCGAATAAATCTTAATTACGATAGCGAGGCCTTTATTTATAATAATATTAATTTAGCGATAGTAAAGTTATAGAAATATTAAGAATTATTATTATTATTGGTCTTATCACGTTAACTAGCGTAACTAGTCTACCTAATAGGTATGCGGTGCTGCTTCCGTTCTAGTTTAGAAGAAAAACCGTATTGTTGAAATCCGGGTGAAAACCTTCAGCTCCTTCCTTTAATCCTAACCCTATTCCCTACTTTTATTCCGTCTTACTACGGGAGCCCGGGAGGATATCGGATTCTTCTAAGTTCGTCTTCCGCTCTAGATAGCTATCGCTATTCCCGGTAGAACTCTCGGTTACTTTTAATTAGTTACCGCGCCTCCCCACCCGGACTAATTGCTTCGGTAGCGGGTATTTCCTCTTTCATCCTATCTTTAGGGTATTGAGGGGTAAGGAAGCGGGGTTTTACTTCTTAGGCGTTTTTTCGCCGATATGGCCTCTATCGGCTGTATATGCCAGGGATATACTTGAAGATCGGGATTGTAAGATAATTAATTAGTCGATATTGTACGGCCGAGCGGGTTCTAGATTCTAATGCCGAACTAGTATTGTGGCTCCGGAATGAATTTTGCGGGTAGGGTTCCAATTCCAAGACTCTATTGGTCGATGCGGAGAGAGAGGCCGTTATCTTCGAGTAGGGATGAGATTTATACGTGCCCAGTCACGTGGTGCCAGGGTTTTGGACCAGGCGGGGCCCCTACATTTTTAACGCTGTATTTAGTAGAGATAGCGGGGAAGATTTCCATCCGAAAAGATCGGATGGAAGGGAGGGGAGCGGGATTCGAACTCACGACCTCTTGAAAGATTTCGAGAGGGAAACCAAGCCCAGATCTTCCCAACTGAGCTATCCCCCCTAAGAATTATTAAACAATTACTAGCTGTATTAGTTCGCTATACTCCTATACCCTATTAAATATAAACGAGCTCTCTACTTATATTACGGTACAACGAAGGGAATAAACTTTTTCGAAACTTTTAAATAGATTTTTATAAATTAGTACTACGGTCTAGAAGATATCAGTTAATATTAATCCCCGGCTCGAAATTATATAGAAAGAAAGGAGCGCCGTTAAGAATATCTACTTAAAAATAATTTCTTTAATTTATTTAGTAATAAAGAGGATTAATTAGTTAGGGAGGTTAAAGCTTACTTCGCTATACGTATTATAGAGAGAGATTTACCGCTAAAGTATTTTATCGACTTAATATTATAGTAGTTAGAGTGTTATAGTTCTTGCACGGTTGGTATAGGTATAAGGCAAAATGTGTATTGAAAAGGTTCGATAAGGAGAAGAAGAATTTAAATATATAGAAGGAGCGGTGGACAGCGCTCTTATACCCAAGGGGTCTATATTAGGAGATAAGGTGTACGTTATATACGTTTGGAAGGTACACGTTTAGAAGGCTTCCAAACTAGGACCTCTAAGCGGTAGCCTTATAATATTACCCCCTACTAGACCGTAGCCCTACCTCCTGCCCTACCTATTGCCCTACTTTAATATTATAAACGCGGTAATTACATTTCCTTCGATCCTTCCTTCTTTCTTCCTCCTTTAATAATAATAATAATATTAGTAATTAATTTGCCGTCGCCGTTCTTACTCGCTTATTATTCATTACTATCGTTATACTCCCGTATTTTATAAATTGTCTTTCCTTTACCTATTTCTCGCAATTATAAGATTGCGAAGTATACTTTATTTTTTAATTTAAATTAACGCTAACCTTTCCTTTATAATTAGAAGTTATTATAATATTTTTGCCCTTACGCCCGCTCCTAATTCCTATTAGCCGTAGCTATAGCCGTTTACCCGGTTTAAAAAATATTATTCTATTTACTGTCTATATCCGTACTTTGGAAAATAAAGCGTACGAAAGTCGTACTATTACTAACGCTACTTAAATTTTAATTAACGTTACCTATACTATATTAATTACCGTTTAAACCCGTTGCGAAAAGGAGGCCACTAAATACGATACCTGTAATACTACCTTCGTTACCGAAACTTCAGAAATTATCCGCTCCTTTAATATAATATATTTATTAATTATTATTATTCTACCCTTAATCTTTTTAATTAACCCGTTTTTAAAGTCCCGCTACTATTTTCTCCGTAGAAGAGGAACCCTTCTACCGTCATTATACCTTATAGGACCTAATTTATATACGCCTTAAATTTAGCGTTATATATATTTATTATTTAAAAGTACGCTATATTTATATTTTTACGCCCAAATATTTTATTAGGGTTATTAATATTTAAAAAGTATTATCCGTTTATAAGAAGGAGGGTACCGACGCTACTTTTAATACGGGTATTAAGTACTATAAATTGTCTTTTCGGGCTTATTAAATTTAAAAGGTTAAAATAATTATTTATTAACTATTAAAAAATATTATAATATTTCGCGCCGCTAACTTTATTAACGTCTTTTAATAAATATAATCCTTTTTTCAATATACGGTACTGTTAATTTAATAATATTTAGGGAGATTATTAATATTTTTATCGATAGTAAGGCCGTAAGTATTACTACTACTTCTTTCGAAGTATTAGAGAATCGTCTAAATACCTTCGAATCTTATTTTTGCCGTTTAATTAGTCTTCTATCTTCGTTAAGAAGTACGGAAACTATAGAAGAGGCCGAGGAAGAGGATAGAAGAGGAGGGGAGGAGGAGGACGAAGAAATGGGAAAAGGGGATATTAAGGAAGGTAGGGAAGAGGGTAATATTATTACTAGCGTTTAAATAATTTATATTCGCGTTGTTTTAATTTACGCTTATATTCTTAGGTTTAAAGCTATTAGTTAGGAGGGAGTAGGGGTTTTTTTAGTAATTTCGGCCGTAGTTTCTTCTTATAAATAAAGATGCCGCTTTCGAATATATACTTCCCTCTACTTAATTATTTCCTATATATAATATTATTTTTAGGGTTTGTTATTTAGTTTAGCGGGTCTATATCTAACTTTAAATAAATCTAGTACTTCGGTTTTTCGGAATTCTTTTAAAGGCTCCCAAATAAGTTTCGTATAATTAATCTACTTTATTAAAATTTATTTAACGAATCCCCTTCCTATAATAGCATTCCTCGTATATAGGATTTTATTAACTTTATATTCCTCTTCGCTATTTATTATTATAGTAAAGGGTTAGAAGTCGGTTCTTTCTTAAATAAAAAAGGGGGATTCTTCGATTTTTTTTACTTAATTTACGTAGAAGTTAATTAGCCTTTTTTTAAGTACGTTTAAAATTATAATATATAGGAAAGGAATAATAATAATTATATATTTAATATATAATTAATTTAACTTCTTTTTAAGTTTAGTAATAAGAAAATTCCTTAAATCTAATTAAACCTTATTTTTTAATTAGAATTTATCGGCTAAACGTTTCTTCTTATTCGTTTACTATTCTATTTTTTATATTATTGCTTCTATAAAAATTTAATATAAATCCGTAATTTATTAAAGCTTTTAAATGAATTCGGCTGCCCGTTATTTAAGTAAACCTAATTTTACTAAGGTTGCTAAGCGAATTATTAGGACGACGGAATTTAAATAATAGCCATAGATAACGAAGAAAGGGGATACCCTTATAGAGGAGTTAATACGGTTATTAATAATTATTTATACTATAGGAAATTAACGGTCCTAATTATTTTATTATTAATTAATATAAGCCCTTAAAAAGGCTAAAACTTCTTGGTTTATCCGTTCGGGGCCTCCGTCTATCTATAAGTAATAAACGGTACTCAATTTATAATTAATATTTAATAAGAAATATAAATAAGCTTAGAATTCGCTAATCTAATTAGTACTTCGGTCGTTAACGATCGATTCTAATTACTAATAATACTATACGAAGTATTAGAAGAAGCGTTCTATATACTATTTAATAATTATATTTTTTATAAATTTAAAGATAACCTCTTTATTTAATTTATTTTTAATAATTTAGAAGTTACGGAAACTATAAGTTAGAAGTAAGTTAGTAATAAAGTTTATTTATAAATGCCTATAGTAGTAATCGGGGACGTCGAAGGGTTTAAAGAAATTATACTTATATATTCTCTATTATTTAATACAATTATATATATTGTAATTTTTAAAGAAATATTAAATTTAGGCTTAGAATAGTAATTAATAGAAATTTTAAGCGATAGCGGCTATAGTGCCTTCTTTCTTAAGGTAATTAACGACTTTAAAATTATAAACGTACTAGATTAATTATATATATAATTTATTTCGAAGGTCGAGAAGTTAGGCATTTACTTTTTTTATTACTGGTTATCCTAAGATTTAGAATTGGTTTTTATAAGTGAACTTACTTTAGGGGTTAATTTTATATTCGGATATTTATAATTAAAGGCCGATATTAATAGGGAAGGTACGGTTATTATATTAAATTATTTAGTATACCTTTTAATAAGTAAAGTCGGTTTAAATTGTTTAGTCCTAAAGTTTCTATAAATTTAAATTATTAAAAGCTTTAATATTAGGCAAACTTACGCCTTCCTTTACCGAAGTAGTAGAAATACGTATATATTTACGTAAAGCTTTATTAAAAATGAATTATAAATCCCTTACCTTTAAATTAATACTATTAAGGAAATTTTATTCTTTCTTCGAAAGGGTATTTAAAACTATAATTTTAATTTTAAAACAATAGATTAAATCGAAATTAAACCGGGATAATTCTTTAATTTAGCGGGCTTACTATTTTAAAAAGCGCTACCGTTCTATAAAATATTTTAAATTCTAGTAATTAATTTAGATTATAAACTTAGGGTACGAACGTAATTCGGCGGACTATTAATTTAGGTAGCGGATTATTATTAATATTTCCTTATTATAAATAGGGTAATTCTATTCTATAGAAGAAAACTTCTATAAATAGAATACGACGGCGTATTTACAGCTATTTACTTCCTATATAAATACTCTTCCTAATACGAAATTACTATAGTCCGTTTTTAAAAACGTAGGGCGGTTAAGGTTAAATTCTATAAGGATAGGAATTTTAATAAATAAATTTTTTATTATATTGAAGGCTTACTATTGCTCCTCCCTTTACGAAAATTCGACTTCTTTATTAGTAAATATTATTAAAGGATTAGCAATTTTAGAAAAGTTCTTAATAAAAATACGGTAATAGTTTATAAAATTTAGGAAATTCTTAATACTTTTCTATAATTTCGGAACTTCCTATTCTTTAATTATTTATACTTTTTCGGGGTTTATTTCGATTCCTACGCCTATATATATAATAAAATTTAAATATTTCACTTTCTTAACAGTAAATTCGTATTTATTTAGGTCGAAATATAGACTAGCTTTACTTAATTTATTAAAGACTAAGCGGACTTTACGTATATAATTAGCGCGGGAACTATTAAAATAAATAAAAATATTATTTATATAAATGGAGGCGAAATTATTAAAATATTCTTTTAAAATAGAATTAATATACTTCTAAAATGTATTTAGTACGCTATAAAAATTAAAAAGGGTAATTATCTATTTAAATAAATTAAATTATATAATAAAAATTATTTTCTATTCTTTACTTATTATTATCCGAATTTTATAGAACGTTTATACGACATCGATTTTCATTAATTATTTAGCCCCTTTCAAATTACGAAGAATTTTTTTAATAAGGGGAAGGGGATAATAATTTAATTTAATAATAGTATTAAATTTATAATAATTATAATAGAAGCGGAATTTACCTCCCGGCTTCCGTATAAATAATATTAGAACTACGGTTTCGGAACGGTTAAAGCGAATAAACTCCTTATTAAATAATTTTCGTAAAATTTTCTTTAAAATTAATAATTCTTTTCGAAATATA